TAAAAATACCAGATTATAGTCAATCACAATTATAAAAACATTGACTGTGATCATATAACAGACACAAGTTTTAATTTCAAAAACCTAAGTATCTGTTAAACCTAAATATCTGTTCCATTAAAGTATCTGTTGCCGTTGCTGGTGAGTTTATAGTTTTTGAGATACTTCCCATGTGACTATGCTCACAGATAGGTTTGGAAGTCCATATTCCAAAAGAGGTGATGTCACTGCATGTTTCTAGATTGATTGATGTACTGACTGATAGATGAATGGATGTTGAAATCTCTTACCTGAGTCCTGGGCAGCTGCTGATACTAGAAAGGAACAGAAATCATGTGACTCCAGACAGATATAATACCAGCAATATTTTCCCCAACATAAACCCTTCATTGAGATGCCTGGAAGTATTCTCAGAAACCGTTTATCAGGGCTTGCTTTTCTGTGCACAAGTATGTTCAAGAGTTTCTTTTGGTCGTGACCTGATCAGCACCGAACAGGAAATGTGAAGATCAGAGCACTGTTACCTTTCATGATTCACTTTTCTCAGGTCAAGAAACATCTCTCTCTCTCTCTCTCTCTCTCTCTGTTAGGACATTCATCCATCATTTAGTTCAGTCCTACCTAATAGGGAAGTTGTGAGGATAACATGTTTGTAATCTAATGCATTGCTGCCTTGGTAGAATAGTGAAAGAAGATACAAATACAGTGGTGCCTCGCATAGCGACGATAATCGGTGCTGCAAAAATCACTGCAAAGCCATTTCGTCGCTATGTGATTTTAAAAGGCCCATAGGAATGCATTGAAACCCCTTCAATGCGTTCCTATTGGCTTAAAACTCCCCTCCATACGGCCGCAATTTTTGCTGCCTGGTAAGCGAGGAATCGGCGCGAAAACACAGCAGGCGGCCATTTTGTTTACCCGGTGGCCATTTTGGAACTGCTGATCAGCTGTTGGAAAAACATTGTTATGTGATGATTGGTAAGCGAAACAGGGTACCGATCATCAGAAAGCGATTTTTCCCCATAGGGAACATCGAATGTGATCGCAAAAGCGATTGCATAATCTTCATCACTATGCGGTTTTGTCGTTAAACGGGGTGCCTGTTAAGCGAGGCACCACTGTAAGTCAAGGGAATTGTAGTGGCTTGGTTGGCTATACTCCATTGAACTTAGCATGTCTAGATATTGGCTTCAGATGGGCCCATCGTCAAAAGTTTCTAGACTAGAAGGTATGAGAGACAGGGTGTTTTCAGAGATGGCCTCATTTCCATGAAGTCTGAGATGGTTCAGTGTGTTCCTCCAGATATTTTTGGACTGCAGCATCTAACAAATGAAGGGCAGGTGGGAGATTAAAGCTAAAAACCTCTGAAGACCCGTAGTTGCTCATGTCTCCCTCAATCAACAGCATGCTCCTTAATTGGCAGGATTTTTTGTAATGATAGTTTGCTAAATTGTAGTGGTCCACGCTATTTTTTTAAATGTAGTGTTCTGATTTATTTTGACTCCTATTTTTAGCATCACCATGCTTTCATGCTTTGAATTTTATGGTGTGGTTTTATTGATCCTTGAGGTAGTCTAATGTTGATGGGGCCCACTTTTGGAGAGATTTGACTTGAAAGGCAATAATATTTGAACCAAAGGTTTTGTTCAGTGGCGGGGGGAGCACTTTGGACAAAAGAAAAGGTTGCCGTGGTCAGAACACAGAGCACATTCCTATCAGCTGCTACTTCCTCTTACAACACTCTCATGCACTCCTACCCACAACACGCCACCAAAGACGGCTGCCATTAGTTTCGGTTCCTCTGAAATGTGGGGGGAAACTCTTAAAACTCTGGTAACAATATCTTTGAGAACTCTACCAACAATCTAAGCCCATGTCCTTTCTGCAAATCTTACTTGTACACAGAAAAAAAGTAATCACAGGGAACAATAGTAGTAATAATAATCAATGCAATGTTTAGCATTTATGTAGCAAAGATGATCAACTGTGGTCTTCTAAAAATTACTGGGCTATGACTTCTAGCATCCTTTACTCTTATCTGTCCTGGCTAAGGCTAATGGGAGGAGCTGAAGAAGCACAGTGGAACTTCATTCCGGAGTGCTTTGCATCCACTGGTTTCAAAAGAGACAGAACAAGAAGGCTGAAGAACTTATGACCAGCCAGATGTTAACAAATGACTTCTCCCATGATCCTTCCTCATTAGACAGGCAAATTGAAGCTGATGGGAATTGGAGTCCAACAACCTCTAAAGCAACACAAAGTTCTCCAGCTGTGCAGTAATTCAGAGCAGCAACTACAGTGCTGGGTGAGATGGGCAACTTATGCTCTTCCAGATGTTTTTGCCTACAACTCCCATCAGCACTAGCCAGGACAAACCAGTGGTGAAGGGATTCAGGAAGCTACAGTTGAAAAATATTTGAAGAACATCTGTTCACACACTTGAGCTCTCCATTCACATCCTCAAGCCACACCGAGAATATCAAACCATATTTTAGGCCAGTGGTTCGAACTAGGCAAAACACTTAGCACCTTCTTAGAAGAGGTGCTCATTCAAGTCATAAAGGCATCTGTTTGTCATAGCACATGAGTTTTTTCCACAGCTGCATATCTTGCATTTCACATGCTTTGTTTTTTGATCAGTATGTTTTTTGGGGAGGGAGGGGCTAAACCTGGCTTAATTTACAATGTAGAGGCATGTATCTGAGGAAAACCCATTCAGCTATACAGAAGAAATATGCATTTCCCGCAATGGCTGGTTTGATGCACTAGTGCTTTTCTCAGCCAAACCTACGTCATCAGATGGTTGCCCTGGTGACTAAAAATCCTATCATTCCCAACCAACATGACCAACAGCCACGCACAGCTGGAGGGCATCAGGTTGGGGTGGGTGGCTTAAAATCTGACTGACAATCAGTCACTCAGAGATGGCTTCAACAGCACAAATTGTTCCTAGATTCCATATTTCAAACTCCACCTATGGCCAGTATTACCATAAACAAATGAAGTGCAAGTTTCAAAACCTTCTGGGACGGTGCAAAATGGTTGGGCCAGGATTGAGATTCAGTTCAAACTGAGCATGTTATACTGCAGTATCCCATCTTGGAGACATGGTGGATGCCTGAAATATACCCTGCTGCAGCTTTAAAATGGGAAAAAAAGTCTCCATATTGTCGTTGCTGGGTGTTGTCAGGAGGCTTTGAAATGCATCTTGACACTCCTCACAGCCTTTATGCAAACAGCTACATCGATCCACATCAACCAACAGCAGTTCTAGAAATCTGTATCTCCACCAGAAGCAGGTCTTTTGCAGTGCTAATGGATCTGAATGGGTTGTTCAAGAATCATGCTTTCTTCGCACACAAGACGGCCATAGCGCTTTGAATGGAGCTTATAGATCTTATCTAGGGCAGAGCAAGTAAAGCCACCAGTCATGTCATATAAAAAGCTGCTTTATTATACAAAATGTGTCTGTTGCAGCAAAGTGAGCAAGAGGTGTACATTAGGAAGTTGGGTGCAGTCCATGGAAGATCATGCCAGATAAAACCAGTTTGTATCTAAAGTATCCCCCTGTTCCACCCAGAGCTTGGAAAAACATATGTTTGGACTACAGCTCCCATAATCCACCAAGATGGCCAAGGATTCTAGAATATGTAGTTAAAGGGTACCGTATGTTTTCAAATTTTCTGCCTTTCTAAAATGCTCCATTCCAAACTCTGTGCCTAACCCAGCGCTTCCCATTCCAATCGGAAACTGTCCCCTCCGACAGCTCAGACAGAGTTCTTTGGGAGAGAGGGTGGGTTTGATCCAAGACAGCCTACCGTACTCAGCCTTTGCCAGTGTGGGCTTTCAGAGGCTGCTGGACAACACTATTATTCCCAGCCAGCAAATCCATTGGGGGGGGGTCGGCATTTGGTAGTAATTATGTTCTAGCGATGTTCAGCTACAGTTCTAACGAGCTGAGGCTAGGAACCCCCTCTATGCAAAGGATGTAGCGAATTATTCAGACCTTTCCTATTAAGCAAACCACGCTACTGAGCTCCACCCTGCTCCCCTGACAGGCTTTGCAGCAAAGTGGCCCCAAAGAAGTGGGCTCTCCAACAAAGAGCAAGCAAAGTGGGAAAGAAAATTGGTGGGGGTTTTTTCCCACTTCCCCTGTGAAAAACACGCCCAGAGCCCTCAAAAAGACACAGAGGGGTATGCACAGCTGCATAGATTCACCCTCCAACCCTGGAGAAGACTTTGGAAGATGCACTCACCGGTGACGAGGCAGAAAATGGAAACGGCGAAGCCCCACATGGCCTTGGCTTCCTCCTCCACGCTAACCCCTGGACAAAGTGTGCTGCCAATATGAGGAATCTGCAAAGCGGTTGCCTCCCCCTCTAGCGCCTGAGCAGGATGTGGGATTGACAGATGGAGCTGTACGTCAGCTCCATCTTGCTGGCCTGCTCTGAAGCGGTGCTATTCTCAGACTGCGCTCCTTGCTCCGAGCAGAGCACTCCGCGAATAGGGTTATGCCAACCCTTGACCCAAAGTCTCTGCCTTTCACAGCACCTTGACCCTCACGCATCGGCAAGCGACAGGGCCGGCCTTTGCCTGAAGGAAAGGCGGAGGTGGTCATGCTCCCTTCAGGATGGACAGCTGAGGCTGGAGGTGTGAGCAAGGGGTGGAAGCAGTACTTAGACCTTTTGATGCCTACCACTTGCCTGCTTTTCTAGGTAGCAATTATCTAACTGTTTTGTTTCCCCAGCAATATATTGTTTATAATTTACTTAACAAATGGTGTGCCGGCTAGAAGTTCTTCATCCATCCTACCAGGCCATTATCCTATTATCCAATCGTTTATAACAATATAGCCTGAATTTCAGACATTGTGATCCTGGCATCTGTTCAATACAGGGATTCCGTGGCCCCAAACTTAGCTCTGATGATCAAGTCCTATTCTTAGCCAGGTGAAACCCTATGGTGTAGTCTATCTGGTCTAAAGTCTCAAAAAACGGTGGGACAAACAATGCAGTCCTGGTCTGGAAAAGGGCAGCCCAAAGGCACTGTCAGTAGAAAGAAAGGTCAAAGCCCCATCCCATTGGTCAGCAGGTCCTTTAAGCTGGACATTGCACAGGCCAGGTCAAAAAAAGTCTGGGGTTAACAAGCTGGCAGAGGCATAACAAGGCAATGTTAATCCCACAGCATAACAAACTATCTAGGGCCATGTAGTAAGAGGAACCATGAAAGAGTTTTTGGCTGACAAAGGTCAAAGCAGAATCCGTTCCTGTTAGCATTTCCAGCCTAGAGCTCAATCGCTCATAGCTGAGCTAGCCTGGGAACAACCCAAGACCCCCCTTCACGGTCTGCTGATTTGTTGTGGCGAAGGGGTTTGAGTCATTCAGAGAAGCTATGGGCTATGCCGTGCAGGGACACCCAAGACAGACAGGTCATGGTGGAGAGTTCTGACTAAACGCGATCCACCTGGAGCAGGAACTGGCAATCCACTCCAGTATCTTTGCCAAGAACACTCCATGGACAGAAATAAAAGGCTAAAAGATATGATGGTGGAAGATGACCCCCTTGTTACATACAGCACTGATGTTACCTGTCTGTCATGGGTTTGGAGGGAAAGTTCCATCCTATGGGGAGTGGAAGGCGGGACATCAGGAGGAGGGGCTGTACTGTATAAATATGTGATGCCTGTGTGGAGATGCTGAGAGACACTGGGATGTGACGAAGCAGCAGCTGGGAAGAAGAAGCTGTTGTGGGAGTCTGTGTGTCAGACAGGGTACTACTGTGTGTCAGAGTACCAACCTGATAGGTTCAGGTGTCTGTTGGTTAGCCAGAACTGATAGGTTCAGGGTCTGTGCTTCAAGTAAGGGTTCTGGGTGAACCAAACTGTGTGCATGAATGAATGAAACTAAGCCACGTTACTTTATCTTAGTTACCTGATTGTTTATTTTTCCCTGTGTGTATTTAAAATAAACCTTATTCTTTTTATTGTTTGAAAAATCCATCCCGGGTCTGTGTGACTTCTTAAAGGGAATGGTTGGTGGCAGCTTAGTGTAACTGTGTGACATATCCCAGTAGGTCTGGGTTTGTCACATTGATTGGTGTCCAGCGT